TGAGCTTCTCTGCGACCATCTCAGCTTTGCTGTGTTGTCAATCAATAGAGTACCTCGCCAAGGGATGCTGCCCATGTGCCAAGCAGCATTGTCATCGTAGGTGCAGCCCCACAGTTAAACTGTGGATATACCCGTGTTCAGGCTATAGGCATATATATATATTAATTTAAGAATATTCTCTCTTGCACTGTGTTAGTAGACTTCTTTATGGTATTTACCAACAGTACAAGACTAACTTGAAAAAAACCCACTAAAAGAAGGCACCCATTTACAGTACTTACAAACAGTACAAAACCCCACCAAAAGAGGGCAGCTATTTTTATGGTATTACACAGTAACAACATGTTGCAAGTTATTAACACTTACATTATCAACTTACGAAGCTAGTACTCCTTTGTTCAACAAAGCAGGGTTCCAACTCAATGAACCATAGATTACAATTCTGGGACACGTGTAATCTTTCTTTCAATGTCTTGTAGTAGATTGTTCACCTTTCGTGCTGGTATAACATTTATAAAGTTAAAAGGTGAATGTGTGGAAGATAAGGCATAGTGAAGTTTAAATACGAGTTTAATCAGTGGTGTTATCAATTTCAAAACCATCTGGAGAAAAAAAGTATTTGCCTGCATGTAAATTTTTTCCATGAAAGTTCTTTCATTTTCTTCAAATATCTCTTGTTTGTGTATCTCTTTGACAACACCAAGAACCACTATCTGACCCTTGATCCTTCGCATCACTGGGCCACCTGAGCAACCAGGCCTGAGTGAGCAATGTAATGTCACTAGTGGCTCTTTATAGAATTCTTTCTTGTACCCAGACACCTTGCCATCTACAAATAGCGCTGTTTCCCCCATATGGGTAGGTGGGTAGCCAAAACAGAAAACTGACTGGCCTATTAATAAGTCTAAACAACTCAACTTAAATGGAAAAATTCCGGTGTCCTTAAAATTAAGCTTAGGACAGTGAAGTAAAGCTAAATCATTTTTAAAATCAACATAAACATCTTTAGAGGGCAGTTGGTGAATGGCTTCATTAGAAATGAATACTCCGTACTTCTCCTTATCATTGAGATATTTTCGGAGCACATGTTCATTGGTAATAATTAAACCATCGCCGATGAGAAATCCAGTTCCATATGAAATCGTTGTTAGTTTTTTGGCCTCTTCATATTCCGTCAGAATGCCACCCCTTTCATCGTCAACGTTCTTTCTCTTTTCGGCATCGCCTTGTCCCGGTTTTGGGTATCTGTCAATCAGCTTTTTTTCATCAAACTCATCAATAGCAGACTTAATGTCAAAAATACTGAAGGTAGCCTCTCGGCTATTTCGTACATTAGGAAAGATATCAGTATCTTCTTTTAGAGTACCTGCAAAACAGTCTCTTACTCGACGTTCAGCCTCACTGCGAAAATATTCACGTTCTTTCGCGTCTTCGTATTCTTTCGTTAATTCAATCCACTTTTGGTCGATTGCATCCTTTAATTCTTTAGATCCATCCCCTTCATCGTCTGGATATTTGAGGAGTCGTCCTTCGTTATCAATCGCTTTAACGGCATTTAAAATGTCAGTGATAGTGTACCTCTCTCCTACCTTGTGTTTCAGAAGCCCCATATCACCGGCAAAGTTCCCAGCGAAGCAATCTCTCACTCTTCGCTGCGCTACAATCCAAGAATATTCGCGCTGTCCATTAGGGTCAACTTTGGCTTCCTCCATCTCTCTGGAGACATCAGCTCTTCGTTTGTTGATCGTCGCATTCACTTGTTTTATTCCGGGGCCCTCCTCATTTCGGTACTTTTCAACGTACTTAACCTCGTCAAAATTAAGAAGCGCTTGATGAATTATATGGATGTCATATCTTTTCATCATCGAAATGTTATGTTTATTACGAACATCATAAAGCTTGAGAGGATCGAAAAGAATCCACGAGTCAAACCCGCGCGGAAAGGGACCCCCATAACAACCCCGCAATCGTATGAGAGCAGTCTTTCGATCGTATTCCTGAAGTTCTGCAAATCTGCAGATCTGGACCTTGACACAGGCATTCAAAGCTTTTCTGCCGTCGTCGCCCAGTACATCTTCGCTGTCCATGGTTTAATTTTCCGGATCTTACGTAAATTTTACTGAATCGGAATCTCTGGTATATACAAAGGCTCATAGTTTCACTTTCACTGCAAGAGCTAGGCCTGAGTTCGACAGCCGGACATGTGACTATGTGCACGTCACGTGATGTTAAGCCGCCTCGTCCCAGGCTATCCCGAAGCTGCGTTAAAAAGAAGGCATGCACAAATGAATCGATGTTACCCAGTTGCGTGCCAACTTCAGGCGGAAACTGTTAAGGAAAACGTGAGTTGTCACGCAAATAATAAAATTACGAAGAGAAATGGGAAAGGTCAATGGATATCGGTAAAACGGTATTCAGCTGGTTATTTGCCTATTCGTTGTGAACTTTACCAAAAAAGCTATAGACTTTTCTAAAGGCCCGTTTTCGACACGCTTTAAACATTTCTTACGTTTTCAGCAATGTTGGACGACCTGTTCAAACGCACCGAACATTTGGTTCAACAATTCGTGTTGAATACATATTGAAGCAAATGTTGAAACCATTCAAACGGCCCTTAACAATGTGACCTTGAAATTCCGACCTTAATCGAACAAAACGGGCATACGTTGAATGGTTACCTTCTCTACTAGAAAATTACCTCTGCTTTATTTTATTATGATTATTGAGAGCCAGTTCCTTTGTAAATTATCCAGAATCTGGACGTCAAATAATAATGACATCATTAGAAAGGAATTTTTTTTTGCTAGACACGGAAGTCAGTTCATTTTACATTTATCTCAGACGTCATGGATTTTCTGTAACTCCAAACACTAGTAGGCCCACGTTTTCAAGATTTGTACATTTGATGTTTGCATTAAACAGATAAGAAATTTTCTATTTAAGATTTGTAATGCCTGTAAAGGTAGATGTTTTCATAAATCCTTTCCTTTCCAGTCAACTAAAAAGTGCCATTTCATTTAAAAACTCAAAGTTTTGATTTTAATTATTAATTTGCCACAAACATTACGAGCAAGTAATGTCAAATCTGTCATTAACTGAAGAAAAGAAATAAGCAATGTAGTGAGGAAGTTTAATTGGACCAACAGAAGCCAGAAGCTTAATGTGTATTTTAACTTACAGTAATGTGAGTTTAGCTGATAACTTTCTCATGGAAATACTTAAAATGAACAAGAGTGTACAATTTTTGCTCTTTAAGGGTAGCAGCTGAATGGATACTACGTTGTGGAGGAACTGTCAAATTTAAGAATTTTGAAAAGTGGATCCAGAATTATAATGCCATACCAGATGGACCCAAAGGGAAGTTTTCCCTGGAAGCAATTAGTGCCAAAGGAATAAGTGTAACCACTGGTGGTCTTCAGCACCTTGGTATTACTTGTACATCAATCCAGCCCCTTTAATTTTTTAACACTTTTATTTAACCCTTTGACCCATGAGAGTGATTAGCATCTAATTTCTCTCTAAAATATCAACCTCAAATCACATTAAGGTCAGTTCTTGATTGTTAAAAAAAATTGTTTTGTAAGTACCCTAGGAAATGAACATAGGAACAGCATTGAGAATATGCATACTGATGTAAGGGTGTAAAAGCTAGAGGCCATTGTTGTCACAGTTTTTCCTAGTTTTGGTAACATGAAGCTACCAGGAGTAATAAGCTGCTCTCTCTGATAAGGGTTTTCAGTCTTTTGCAGGCTACTCGTAGCAGTTTGTCTAGCTTCCTCAACAGTTTGCTGGTACCCATTTGTACTTCTAAAAGGGCTGGAAAACTGTGAGAATGAAGTGTTTTTCTCAATAATACAACAAAATGATCTTACCAGGTCTGAAGTGCAGACCTCAGGCTCCACCATGTTTCCCAATATTTTCCTTTGTTAAAATTACAATAAAGATATTGACATGAAATAACTATTAGTGTCAGGCTTCTTTTTTTCACCCTCTTTTCATTGCCTCTTCTTTTATGGCCCCTTCCCCAATTCTTCCTTAATTTTCTAGTCTGTGATATCAATTTCCTTTCTTGAGAGCATGCATTTCAATCATCATCACAATGTGCATCTCATTACCTTCTTTCAGATGGACTGCAGCACCTAAGACATCTGAATGTAAACAGCTGTGTGTATGTAACCAACATACAAAAACTTCTTCCTGTGAAAGGAAGTTTGGAGGAGCTGGACATCGGAAACTGTGTTGCATTATCAGATATATCACCACTCTTTGAATTTAAGTAAGTGAAGAAGGATTAGCATCCACAAATCTCCTAAGGGAACTTAAACTTATCTTGCCCTAATGGCTAACCAAAAAAAATCTTTCTTCCTGCTTTCTTTGTAGAGGACCTTCTCCATAAACCGTAGGTTGTAGAAAATCAGATAATCTCTTTCAGAAAAAAGAGTGGGAGACACAGTGGTGTTATAGTTAGTGTGTTGGATTCTGGATTTAGAGGTCTGGGTTTCAGACCTGACTGGTTCATTGTGTTGTGTTCTTCTGAAAGACACTTAATTTTCACAGTGCCTCTCTTCACCTTGGGGTAAAAATGGGTTGTCGCAAATTGACATGAAAGGTAAATGAAATGCTGGAGGGTAACCTTCTAAAGGACTGGTATCCCAACCAGGGGGAGTATTAATAATCCTAGTCACTTCATGCTATGGAGTGGGGTAAGCTCTGCTGGTTGAGCCACCTGGCTCAAGTACAGACTTAACCAACTTTTAGTTAAAAGTAAAAGTGCTCTGTTTACCTTCCTCCCAAATCATCCTGTCAAGCTTATTAAACTTTTTTTTTTTTTTTACATCTTCCTTCTGTCCAGAAAATTGAGAAAACTTGTCCTCATTAACATACCAAGGATTAAACAGAGAGAAGAAACCATTGCAACTTTACGGAAGAGACTGCCTGACTGTGTCATTGAACAGTAACCAGTAACGTGTGAATAAAACTAGTTCTCATAAACTAACATCAAGCAATTACTTACAATTCTTAAAATGGTGAACAAATTCCTGGGCAAGTAGAATGATATCAAGAAGGAAGGACACACAAGGAACCTTCATTTTCCTTTTACAAGTGAAGGACATCAGGGAACTTTGAAGATTCCTGAATATCTTTTGAAAATTGCTCATTGTAACCCTTTAACTCCAAGAAGTGATTAACAAACAACTTCACCCTTTTATCCAGCAAACAGGAAATGAGGAAACATTTCAGGTAGAAGTTGTTTTCCCAATATCACACCAAATTGTAATTATAACTTATATACAAGGAAATGTGTACCAGCAAAGAATTAACAATCAGATCTAGGGAATGGCCATTTTGTAGTATTGTAGTATCTCTTTAGTGCCATGCAAGATATGCAAAACTGTTAATTTGGTAATGATCAGTGCTCTTTTGGTTAGGTTTGTGAAATGCATTAGATTGTGTTGAGATATCTTGGGATACTCTACGATAAAATTAAAAAATTTTTAATCTATAACGCTTAAAAACTTTTTTGCAATACCAACATTACTTACAATACTAAACTTCTTCACATTTCAATACAATGCAAATGCTAAGCATTACTTACAGTGCTATTTCTTGACTTATTTTAAAATAATTATGTCAGAATTAGTAAACAACAATTGTAATTATGTACTGGTGATATTGGAAGCAACAAACTTTATTTCCCAGGGTACCAGTAACTAACTTCAGCTGCTAAATACCTGTCAATATACTCTTGGTATAAACACTTAAAATTTCAACCATCTATTGAAAAAGGCCAAAGTTTCACAAGGCTTGGCTCTGATCAAAATTAGACTTATTAAGTATTGCTTGGTTTTCATTGTTATATGCCATTTTTAGAGAGTGTAAAAACTGAATCACCTTTTCTGCAGGTATAACATTAACAAAATTGAATGGTGAATGTGTTCCTGTCAAGGCTTCATTAAGTTTTAATACAATCTTAGCAACTTCAGCACCACCTGAAACAGTATCTCGATCCCTAGAAAGCTTTTCTTGTTCCTTTTGAGTCAAGATGTCTTTAATGTGCTTCTCTTTAACCATCCCAAGAACCTGTAATTGATTCTTAACTCTACACATAACTGGGCCACCTGAGCACCCAGAGCTAAGCGAGCAATGTAGCATCACTAAAGGACCACCAGACATTCTTTCCTGGTGTCCTGAGACACTGCCATTCACAAAAAGAGCTGTGTTTCCATGGTGATGAATAGGATAGCCAAAGCAAAAGACTGGCTGACCTGTTTTCAATGACTCTGGGAACAATTCCAATGGATGTATTTTACTATTCTCTACTGAGTTAAGCTTGGAACAATGCAGGAGAGCTAAATCATTCAGGTTATCATCATCTACATCATCAATGACTACATTACCAATGACTTCATTACAAATATGGATTTCACAATTACCTTTACCACTATTTTCAAGAAAAGTTTCAACCACGTGTTTATTGGTAATAATATGATAATCATCGTTGGTAACTCCAGCGATGATAAATCCAGTTCCATGTTCAATTTCAGGTTTGGTGGCTGCTTCAAATTCATTCCTAATGTCGGCTCTTTGTTTATCAACCTCGTTTTTCTTTTCTAGATCTCTATGTCCGTTTTGTTTTGGGTACTTGTCAATGAGCTTCTTGTTATCAAATTTAGCAATAGCTTTATGGATATCTGAGATATCGTAAGGAAAATTGTCTGCACCTTCCCTCGGGGGTAAAATGACAGTGTCTATTGGAAGGGTACCTGCAAAACAGTTCCTCAACATACGTTCAGCCACTCCACGGGGATATTTTTGTTGTGGATGTTTGTGGTACTCACTGCGCATACTTTCAGTGTTTTTATCGATCAAATCTTTCAATTCTTTCGAGCCAGGACCTTCGTCTTGTGCATATTTGGTGAGCTGCTTTTTGCGATCAATGTCCATGTAGGCTTCATAAATGTCAGACATAGTGTAATAAACCTTTAGTCCAACCCTGTGACTAAGTATGTCTGAATCTCCTGCAAATTTCCCAGCAAAGCAATCTCTTACTCTTCGCTGAGCGACAATCCAGGAATATTTCCGTCGATTGTTGGGGTCTTCGAATTCTTTCAACTCCCTTGAGACTGCGGCTCTTCTTTCTTTGATTTTCGCCTTTATTTGCTCCGCATCTGGTCCATCTTCTGGGTCTCTTTCTACGTAAAACTTTTCATCGAAGTCAGAAAGAGCCCCAGCAATATCAGCAATGCTGTACGTTCTCTTCAGTTTGGAAATATTGAGTTGGTGATCATTCCTTTGATCATAGAGCACGAGCGGATCATACAAGCGCCACGTATCAAGTCCTTGTGGAAGCGGGCTACCATAACAATTCTGCACTCGTTTAAGAGCATCTTCCCGACTGTATTGAGGTAATTCAAGTGGATTTGGATTTCTTAACACTTTAACCCTAACACAAGCATTGAAAGCTGTCCGTCCATCTTCACCAAGAACATCATCGCTATACATTTTAAATAATCAATAATTTCTTACATACGCAATTTTGCCGCTAAGTGTGAGGTAAGGCCTTTGACCGCAGTGCATTATTTTTACTCATTTCCAACATGGCCGTCTTACCGTTTAGTTGCGGGGTTTTGAAGAGGCAAATGCAAGTCCAATTTTACCATAATACCAGACTATGAGGATTAGAAAAACTGGGAATTGGAAGATAAACCCCTCCTCACTAACTTGACGCTACTTATTTTTTGATATGCAATTTATTTTTTTGTATTTTTTTAAAATAAGAGTGAGAGGACCATTTTCCGAGGGTGCAAATCCCTGTAAATCGCACCCCATTCTCTACTTTTTTTTACAATTCCTCGCTTCCATTTGACCAAAAAGTACACATGATTATTCCGTATAGATAGGACTAATCAATGAGTGCATCGCCCCTCAGTGCACCTCTAGTTATTTCTCCGAAAGCTGCGTTTTAAGTTGACGATTTTTTGTTTTGCGAAGTTTGGTGTTTTGATTGAGTTTTGGATCCACATTTGTTTCTGAATACGTGTGCGCGAAACCTCAAGGATTCACGTGACCAGACTCTAGCGGTCAATTTCGCCGCTTGCGGTCACACATTTGAACTTCGAGCAAGACAGGTTCAAGTAGGTCAACTCCCTCGGTGCTTTCCTTCTTCCTGTTTGAAAGTTCTCAGGTATGTCCTGTAATTATATGTGAGATGAAGTCTTGTCTTTTCTACCAATCCGTTTGGGAGGTTAAAAAACCAAACTTTAAGCTTTATTTTGTGTTTGAAATGAAGGACCCCCGTTCTTTGTGGAATTCAAGGTGGGTTCACGAAAACTCAGACCCCGAAAACTCAGACCTCAGACCTCAGACCCCGAAAACTCAGACCCCGAAAACTCAGACCCCGAAAACTCAGACCCCGAAAACTCAGACCCCTCGAAATTTATTTAAATTTCTCTTACCAAAGAGATAAACTCGGCTCGTGATCAATTCTTAACAATTCGTATTTTTTTTTTATTATGTCACATAACTGTAAATTTACACTTAGAACTGTAAATTTACACTTAGAGCTGTAAATTTACACTGTCTTAAAGCTGTAAATTTACACTGTCTTAAAACTGTAAATTTCCACTTATAACTGTAAATTTCTACTTATTTCTACTTAAAACTGTAAATTTCTCTTTAAAAGCCATGAATTGAAACCTTATACATAACTGACGATTGGGTACTAAGGGGAGAAGGAAGCAATCGCTTGAGCTATGCTGGGGCGGATCCAGGATTTAGTCAAGGGGAGTTCGCAGAATTGTCCCACTCCTGAGGGGTCTGAGATTTTCAAAATTAGGTCTTTGGAAACATGATTTCCAGCGTTCTGAGGGATAATTTAGGGGGTTCGACCGATCCACCCGAARCACCACTGGATCCGCCCCAGCCTATGACAGTCTGGAAGTATTTCCTTTCCGTCTTTTAGCAAAAAGTTTAGCTGCAGAAAGTGTTCTTCCACCCTATCTTCCCGCTTTACGTAGTGGCCAATGGAGCAGAAATCTGCTGATACCAGAGAAGAAACGCGAGAATTTCAGTGTGGCCAAATCCTATATTAAAGTACTATTTAATTTAAATTAGATTAAATTAGATTAAATAGTACTTTAATCTAGGATTTGGCTACACTGAAATTCTCGCGTTTCTTTGCATCGTTCAAGGCATTAGGCTTAGCCTTCGTCATCCATCTCAAAAGACTTGTCTGTGGAATTTGTTTCGAGAAGAAGGGGAACGAGCAGTAATCCCCACGACGTGATTTCAGCAGTAGCGGCAAAGAGTCGCAGTGGTAGCTTGTTAGGCTACCGTCAGATGCATTAAAGAATTACTCTAGACTATGGTGTGATAGTGGTTAGGGAAGCGATTCGTCGAATCCTTGTTGTACTTGATCCTAACGGAGTTCGTAACCGAGCTTGTCATAAGTTACGAAGACGACAATACCTATCGAAAGGTCCAAATTATATTTGGCACATTGATGGCTGCGATATGCAAAGCCATTTGGGTTTTGCATACAAGGAGCGATAGTTGGCTACAGCCGCCGTATCCTCTGGCTTGAGGTTGGTTCCTCAAACAATGATCCTCGTATAATCGCTTCCTTATGTCATGATTGTGTCAAACACCTGGGAGGGGCCCCTCACATATGTGGTGCCGATGCGGGTACTGAGAATTTTAGTGTTGCTGCGATGCAGAAGTTCCTAAGGCGTCATGTTCGAGACGAATCTGGAAGGAGGAAGAATTTCTTATACAAGCGTTCCGTTGCAAACCAAAGAAGCGAAGGATACGCATTCCATCCAGTGAGGACTTGTCGAGTCATAAACATTAAAGTGCTGAGACTGCGAGGTACGGACTGAAATCATTCTTAAAAAACGTGATATGTAATTAACGAAGCTACGATGACATATGACGTGATGTAATTTGGTCTGATATATATGTGTATGCAAAAGAGCTACTTCTGCCACTACCTTATATTACTATTGCTTGGGATATCAATCTTTCACGTTTTTTAGAGAATGGTATATTTATACCTTGAGGAAAGTTGTATACTATTCTCCAAATCACGTAAACCCAGATTGCTGTTATCTTTAGCAAGCGAGCCAATCCAGTCGTAGACAGGCAAAATTTTGTCACTGCTGGAAAAGTAGCGCACAAGTTTTCCACTGGTTACATGATGAACCGCTATCCCTACGCGTGGGGCTCCTACAGCTACCGCCGGTTCAGCAGGTACCCTCGAGGACCTGGATGATCTAATAAGGTTTCCAATCGTGCAGTTTCTCCTCTCGTGTTTCTCCCTTTCTTGATCTTGCTGAATCAAAATATCTTTCTTTTCCTCCTCTTTCCGCCAGTAAATCTCGATAGATATCTGCAATGATTCTTCTTGTTATTGCAAAAACTCAGGGGCGGATCCAGGATTTTATTGAGGAGGGCGTGCAGCACTAGAGAATGGCGTAACTGACTGGTGACTGGACGTAAACAAATTGTAGTAGCTAGTCCGGGAACAGAAACCGAAAAATGGGAGTTTCGTTCAACCATCCCCACAGAAAATATTTGACACCTGATTCTTGTAGAGAAAGACCTCCTGATCAAAGCCAGGTAGTTCGTAAAGTTGAATTGGGGTATACGTTTTGAGTTAAGGCGATGTTTCCTGCCCAGCTGACGGATCAGCATGGAAACGAGGGTACACACTCGAACGCAGTTTACATCGTCATTTCTTCGTAAAAATCAACGATTTCAACCAGTTATCTAAACTTTGTTAAACATAGATCTGCTTTATTTGTAAGTGGTAAAGTATGTCACGTGATTAGTCACGTGATTTTAAACGTGACCAGTAACAAAGGTGCGACTATTAGAAACAAACAAGCGTTCACCGTTGTTTTGAAAAACAACCTCGCAAAAATGAAATATGAATCCCTTCTTTATTAAATTAACTTTCTTTTGCTCTTGCTATCGTCCTAGCAAAACCTTTGAGAATTAAAACGGTTCACTGCATATCATCTTTTATCAGTTTAAATCTAGCATGCAAACAAGGCATGCCCTTGGAGGCAAACAAACAAAAAATTATGACTCACATGAAAATCAAAAAGAAGAAAATGTTGCCGTTATTCGTTTCTAATTACGATATTGCAATATTCGGATATATGACTATAAAACTCATACGAACAACGAGAGTAATTGTTTTCACTCAGAACTAGAGTCCTCGGAATCAGAGTCAGAAACAAAGTCTAAGAGGACTCCATGTGGATTTCTTCACATGCCGTTGCTGGCCATGCCTCTGAACAAGATAAGCCTGTGTTGTCACACGAGCAGTTGCTCTGACACTCACTCTGACATGTGCACGTGCAAGTCGTCAGTTCCAACAGGCTACTCGGCGCTGGTTCTTTTGTCATGTAAACCGGCTTTAGTGAGGAGTCTTCTCTCATCCATCCATTACTTTCGGGCTGCAGGAGATGCTGGATTGCAGTCAGAGCCATTCTGCAAACAAACGTCTGATAGTTCACTCTTTTCAAGTGTTGAAGTACGCTGTCAGATGTGGGTGGGAGAAGCTCGTTCATCTTCTTTCCGTTTTGGCAAAACAGGAAATATCTCAACTCATCCAGAGTGCAAGGTTTTAATTAGAAACGTGTTTGTTTTACAGTGTGCAGCAGTGGCACCTGTGGGCCACCGTACAAATAAAATATGACAATTACGCTTGTGGTCGTCTTTCCATTTGAAAAGCAAAATCTCTCTCCTTACTTGCAAGAGAGGATGGCAAGGAGTTTACACTTGTGGCGTGATCAAGGTCAAAATCAGCGTAAAGTGAAAGGCGAGCGTGATTTGTGATTCGCCTCAGCTGAAATATGCGTGACCCGTGACTTTTCTCTTTCATTTCGTGAAAAAAAAAATGGTGACGGAATTGCTAAACTACTGTGGGTTAGCGTCAGCCAAAGTCATTTCATGTCTTCGTTTCTATTCTGTTTATATTTGTTATAATTGAAACAGGATCCCTTTGACGATAGTACACTTTTTGCGGTTACTGCCTCCGTTTGGAGGTGAAGCTATTTATGTTGTCGAGATGAGTGAGTGAGTGTAACAATAGAATTCCACTCTTGACCCAATTTTGACCCCACTTCCAACTTATTGGGTTTTTCTTTTGGAGTATTTTAGTAATTCAACATTAGCACTCGATACACAATTGAGTTCTCTCCCACTGTAATTTCTGGCCTCAGCCACCAACACATTATGTTTTTAGTTCTTGTTGTGACACTGCGAAGGATAGTGGAAGACGATAAACATCTCGCAATCATTTCAGGATTGTGCGCTATTTAAAAAAAGGTGTGATCGACGCATCATAAAATAAAATCTCCTTTGAAGAGAGGGAATTTTACCGTTTAAATCAGCAAATTATGTAGATCCAAAGATATAATCTTTCCATTTCTTGCCATGACACTACAAAAGATTACAAACATCTCAAAATGTTTGTGAATGTTTGAAAGTCATATACTTGAACTGCAGTTAAAGAAATGAACAGGAGAGCGATCTTCTCTTCACTATGAAATGGTGGAACGGAGAACGGTGAACGGTGAACGGTGGAATGGCGGAATATCTTAAGACGTGGAATGATGGAATATCCAAAACGCGGAATGCTTTGTTGTATGAAACAGAAGTCACAAAAAATGGAATTGCAATAAAACAATAAAATCATTTATAATTCACAGGCGAAGTTAAAGAAGCATAGGTAATCATTGTTGGGGCCCAGAGGATTAGGGAACCATAAGGCTCTCGAGCTAGCCCCCTTTAAAATATTATTATATTAATCTTTGATTCCTTTAAATTATTGGTTGAATGTCCATTAGATAATATATTCTTGAGTCGTCTTTCTCTTGTGGAACAGGGTACTCTTAAATATTGGGAATGTGGAAGGTTTTCTGTTTTGCAAGTGAGACAAATATTCTGCAACACTACCTACTAGCGTCTTTATACAACCTACAGCTCTTTTCACTGCGAGGAAAATTGTGTTATACCAGTAGCCACATGCTGTCTTTGACTGTCTCTTTCTAATATAATATGTAAGAGGCTGAAACTGTGCATTCTTTTTTTTTTTTTTGTTTTTGCAATTTGAGCCTGAAAGTTCTTCATAGTTCTTAAACTTGTTTGATAAAGTATTGCAATAAATGAATGTAAAAAAATCTCCATAAGTATTGGAGTTAATTGTCCTTTTAGACCACAGTTTTACATTTCTCTTACCTGTAATTGTACTTCTCAAAAAGAAAAAAAACAAGAAGAAACTAATGCAGTTTTACAGAAGAGATTGCATGACCCACAGTAAATGATAAAATTTTCATAAGTTGACCCACATATAACAATTGTAAATATGGTGACATAATTTCTGAGGAATTAGAATGATATCAAGAAGTACAAGCATCATAAAATATTTGAACTAATAATAATAATAATAATAATAATAGGGAGGGAGACATACTGATACCCAAAAGAACTTTTAGCTTATCAGAAACCGCCCTATCCCACCTTCCATTAACTCTTTTAAGTCAAGATCTGATTGTTAATTCTATCCTCTGGCTGCTACACACTTCCTTGTAAACTGGGTACAAGAGTATGGTGTTAGATCAAGATAAGAACTTCTGCCTAATTATTTTGTGGATTCTCATTACCTGTTGGCAGGATAATCTATGAATAGTATGAGAGAAGTAACATGTTAACCACTTCTGAAAAATTAAGGGTTAATTAAAAGAAATAGGCCAAAAATGTTCACTTGGTACTGCGCAAACTCTCCTCTATACTCTAGGAGTTCTTGAACTAGCTTCAAACAGACAGTGCTGGGCAAGAGAGGAACTCTTTACTCATCACCACATTGTATGTGTTACTGTTATCAAGTTATCAACCCAAAATATACACAGCACTTGCAGTACAAGTCATTTTTTATTTGCATTAAAAAAATTCTTTTTTGTTGTGACTACCCATTGTGAACATACAGATGAATCTTGATATGTTCAATTTTACTGAGCTCACATAATTCACTAAATTTCACTTCAAGTTAAGATATATATCCCAAATCCTTATTCAATAACAAATGGGTTACTTCCAATTTTTATATCTATTAGACTTGTCCTCATTTTCAGAGACTTTTAATACATTTAATTTAATACTAACTTGGGAACCTTTCGATGACTTTGTGTCTCACTGAGATTCACGTATGGATTGGGTGAATAATTATTTAAAAACTATCATTAAATAAATATTAACATTTCTGAAAGAGAGAGGAATGTTGTAATCATAGCATTCTTGAGACAACTAAATCCAATAAATTCCTTTAACATTTTTATAATAATAATAATAAATAATATTTAAAGAGGATACTCCCATCATATTAAGTGGTTGTCAGGGGGGTCCTCTGACTAAAAATACAATTAAATTAGGAAAAAATGAGAAAAATTTGTACATGTAGATGTATAGAAGCATATAAAAGCACTAAGATTAAAATACTAAAATTAAGAATATGCTAAGGTTTATAAGGTAATTTAAAAATATTATTATTTAGGTGTCTCTTAAAAATTATTGGTGGCACAGGCTTTTTCAACTCAGGTGGAAGTGCTAACCATTCCTTTGTTGGTTGATAACATGTTATACATCATCCGCATTCTGTTCTAATTCTGCCAAAGCGTCGAAGGTGTCCATTTCTGGTGTTGTAACCATGTGAATTTAGTGTTGATTTAAAGTTATCAAAGTATTCAGGAATGTTTCCTTTTATTGCATTCTGACCAAGTACACAACGATGCCCATGACAACAAAATTCCAAAGGCAACCACATTACTCCTTTTATTGCCTCTTTAGAGGAGGCCTTTTTGCCATAGACTTTTTTAGCAAACTTATTTTGGAAGGCCTGTAGCTGTTCCACTTCTGATTTTAACCCTGGTCGATCGCCCCATATTATATCCGCATAGTCTAAATGAGGTAGCACCAAACCATTGTAGTACGCAAGGCAAGTCTTTTCGTCAAGCATATGGCAAGTGTGATTATATAAATTATTGTCGGTCAGTTTTTGATTAATTTTCTCTTGTATTTACTTCGAGGGCCATTAGGTTAGCAGTTTAGTTACTGTCAAATGTCACCCTCTCCAATAAACTCTACTTACTTACTTACTTACGATGACCTAACTTCTTGATCAAATTTCGAATATGAGGCCTCCAATTCCATTTTTTGTCAATTGTCACTACAGGGTATTTAAAAGATTTCACACAATCAATGATCACATCATCATCAGATTTAAATTGAAAGTCCTCAAAAGATGTCAGTACATTTTACATTTTTACTTCCAGTCAGCATCAGTTTTGTTTTCTTAACATTCAAGGTCAGTTTGTTGTCATGGTAACAGTTACAAATTTGCGTAAAACCAAGACACAAGGACTCTTCGAGTTCCGCTGCAGTTGATCCCGCACAAAGTAATACAGCATCATCTGCGTAGAGAATTATCCTAGCATCTGAAATGGCATTAGGTAAACTGTTAATGTAAATGTTAAACAACAACGGTCCCAGAATACTTCCTTGTGGAACACCAAGCTGGACAGGGCAGGGATCTGAAATCTAGACATTTATCAATACAAATACAAGTTCCTTCCATTTACTCAAGATGTCCCTAAAATTTTCTTTCTTAGCTTTTCCCTAAGATACAATGTTCCTTCGATGTCCTTACGATCCAAGATCTCCTTCATGGACAAGTGCTTTCCCACACGTACAATGTTTCCTTTGTCAATTTTTGTCCCATTCTTCAAAGCATTCAGCATCTTAATTGAATAACAAACAGACTCCACACAGCTTTGAAACACAGGAAACAGTTCCATGTGCCATAGACTTACATACTCAAGTTTGGAATCCTGCAAAAAAAAAAAAAAGATTATTAATTAAAAAAAAAAAGAAATAAAGGAATTACAAACCACAAATTTAATATATAAGAAATTTTATATTTAATATAAAGACATGACTCTCTAAGAGCAGGGCTCGACACTCACGGTAGCCAACTAGCCAAAGACTAGTAGAAATTCAGTTTTGGCTTGTGGTTTTTGATTTCCACTAGCCAGTTTGGCTAGTAAACTAACTGAAATTGTTGTAACATCTAAGTTTTCACTACCCACTTGGCTAGTAAGTTGAAAAGTTAGTGTTGAGCCCTGAAGAGCCAAACCATTTTGAGAAGAATACAAGCCTCATCAACCACTTTCACTCCTGAGATCTCAATAGCAATTCTTCTTACTGTCTGCCATACAATTCTTATGAAATTAGTTCAGAGAATTTGGTACTGGATCAACTAGTTATCTGCTAATTGATATTTTTCTTTATTCTCATCACTTGTCTGATATATATTGCATTGACATAGTAAGGGGACATTCTGTCTTGATCACTCATGGAAGTGAAAGGGTTCACTGTATTAGCTGCTGGAGAGTAATCCTTGATTTCTCAATAAGAACCAGTAGTGAAACAGTCTACAACATGTAAACATTTACATGTAGATGACTTAACAAAGCCCAGACAATTAAGGTGGCTAAAATGGTTTCACTATTGGACCAAAGATTTCAATGCTTTTTGTTTTGTTTTCTTTGAGATGGTATGGAAATAATTGCTATCATAATGTAATCAATTCAAAAGCTGTGGTCATTTTCTTGAAATTAATAGGTTGTCACAATAATACAATGGCCTCTTTGAAACACCCCTAGTTTCAGACTACTTAAACATCAAGTTAAACAACTCCAATCTTTAATCGTCCAATTGCCATCACATGTCAAGATTCATGCAGTTCTGAGCCACCATAAGTTTTTGATGCCAATATCAAGAGAACGCACAAAAAATTATGGTTTCCATTGTGATAGTTCCATTATGATATTATGGAACCATTTTGAACCAACCCAAACTGGGTTATAAGAACCTGAACAAGATTACTACCTGCACTATATCCAACAGTGACACTGCTTTATCAAGTGGCAAGCCAAAATACTGTAGTTTCCCGAGATCACCAGAAGGTGGTGTCTTTTTCACATTATCTTTGATACCAAAGACAACAGTCACATACAACCCACTTGAATTGTCGATTGTAACGCACACTGTCATCATGAAGGTATCGTCAGAGATGCTAGCCCCTGAAGGAAGCTGTACATTACTGACAATGCAATTATTGCCGACAGAGGCTTCTGCTTGAATGTCACAGTATTCCAACAGTGTTCGCTGGCCCACACTTGATGGCAGAGTCTGGTAACAGTGTATGAGACATCTTTGATCTGTGGTAATTTTTTCCTCACCAGTTCCACTTCTTTGCACCATGACTTCTGAGAGAAAGTGACTTTCATATCTGGTAAAAACAAACAAAAAAAAAGTTTAGAACAGGAAAACATTGATTCAGTCACATCCTACCATTATCTCTATCATAAATCCAGTTTATTCCTGTAATGAGCCTGGTACTGAAAAATAGGAAAGGCTGTCTTGCCTTTCCCTCTAATGTGATTGGTTGACAGTCTTGGCCACATCTCTTGAGACAAATGCATAAATTTTTCAACAAGTCACCCTGCAGTTCCTTTTTCAATTTCTCTTCCTCTGCAAGAGTATTTTACTACACAGTTTAAAGCACCTACAGGGGATAAGGGGAATGGTGAGGTATGAAAATATGGAGGTGATGTAAATCATGCACATCGCTCATGATGCTTACAAGGGAAAGAAAAATCCAATTTGTCTCAAAGGTTTTGTCTCCAATCTCAAATTACTGTCGAACCTCAATTATCAGGACTCGTTGGGACTAGACAATATATTCCAGATAATCAAGGGTCTGAATAATAGAGAATAATAGGGAACAAAAACTGATTAAATTAGGAAAATGACAATTAACCCTGAAACAAAACATTCACAAATCATTTTGAAAAAGGTATGGTCTACATCTTCACCGTCTATTAACGATTAAAATTGATGAAAAATGTTTTCACATTGGCCTAAAATGTTGAAGTCAGTCAGTTTGTCTTAAAGAAGAAAATTGCCTTTACCTAACAATATGGCGATGGATCTTGATCATGTCTAATAAATATTCATTAAAAAAGTGGGACCCAAAAAAAGTCCGGATAATTGAGGTCCAGATGATCAAGGTCCGACTGTAATCAGTCTTCAGTATCAAGTATCATGGTCTGGTTAGCTAACTATTATTATATTAATAATAACCCTTTTAGACCCTAACATTGGTATTTAGAATCTCCAAACTGGCCTCTTTACATTTCCTCTGATATTGAAAAGGAGAATTTGCTTGACAATCAGGAGCTTGGTGATCATTTTCTCTCTTCTCACAACTCTACAACTGATTTAGGGGAGATATTGTAAGGAGAAATTGAAATTTGCTTCCGATGTTATCAGGAGCTCAGTGTACAAACCACTAAATTATAGAATGGCAATAAACCAAAAGGAAATCTCTTTCTTGATATTTGTTAGATTTCTTTTTGGTGATCATTGAATTCTCACCTAAAAACTTTGTCATCACAGAAATAGTGAATACATTCCATAGTAGTGCCTAAATGGTAGAACTTGGATTCATTAAGTAACAGCACATTTAGCTGTGTTCCTTTCAAGAACTCAAAAATCTTCTTCCTCTTTGAAATCAAAGAGGAAGTTTCCTTTGTGACATTGGCAACATTCTCTGTGTAATCTGCTGATGCCTCAGGTCCAAGAGCTTGTAAGAAATCACCATAAGCATCAATTTCACAGTCAATTGGTTGGATCTGCTTTGAAAAGTCATGAAGATTCTTGGCTGTTTTCCAGTCCACAAAAAAGACACTGTCAGTGTAAACATACTCTTGTTCATCGCAGAGGAATACAATGCCATGCTTTCTCATTACGTCCATTGATGGTTTGTGGAGAAATTTCTTACATGTTGTTTGAATGATTGGGCAGCCAGCCTGATAGACAAATTAAACGTACTGTATCACGGACTTAAAAATTCTGAGAAATTCCAACATGTTTCACCATAAAATATTTACTCACCAGGTAATATTTTAACACTAACTTTTTGGTTTTACAGTGAAAAGAAGCATGTGGAAAATGATCCCTTGAAGACTATTTTGAGTGAGAGTAAATGCATTTTCAAGAATACCAATTGACACTCAATGGCATTGAAAAGTTTTCATATTAAAAGCAGTGAATTATTATCTAAACTTACTAATGAGTGTTTGCTTTCAATCCCAGCAGCAACCAAAACAGAATTTCTCTTTACAATATCAAGCAGACAAGTAAAGAGAATAAAGAAAAATATCAGGTAGGGGATTATCATTTGATCATACACTTAATACTAAGAGATAAAATCATAAGTAATATATGGCAGACGGTAAGGACAATTACTAATTAAAAAAAGATCAGTGTTATGCTGAAAGATGCCTGGACCGGGGCTTAGGCTTGGTTGCCAAGGCAACCAACTCACTTCTCAGATCACAATTAGCAAAATTTGCTACATTTAAAACCTCCAAAACATTCTTGCTTCATAGAATGAGTGAGAATTTTTATTGCATCCACACTAACCTGACCCGATGTTAAATTTTTGTGGTCATTTAGCACAAATACACCATGGGTTGTGCCAATATGAATTGGAGAAGGATGAGCCAAAGCAGTGAAGCCTGGTTTGGTGAACGACCAATCTCCTTCACTATTAAACACCACAAGGATATCTGAAGCAGCCACAAAAATGCCTGGGTTCATATGTCGAGGAAATCCAATAAACATAGCAAGCTGAAGCTCTAACATTTGGTAAGGTGGATCACCTGTCAAAGAAATATGATAGTAGGATGTTTCCATAGATCTTTTAGGGAAATTTTACTCCTCAATATGCAAGTAGGTATAACTAATTATGAGAATATAGTCCTGTATGATCATTACACCCCACAGCTGAAAAAGTTCTCTATACTTCCATCAATTGTTTTGCTTGTTTAAGTGTTGATATTGTAAGAACTTCACGTTTTTCACCACTGGGTATTGACAGTTCAAATGATAGGGGTGTAGCTACTTAGTAGTGACCAGGGGTGGGAATTTGGAAAATTGTGTGTACCTCTAGAAAATTCCTGGTTACGCCACTGAATGATGTGCCCTATGATCAAGTTCAATCAAAATCAAAATGACTGCACAATATTTTGTTTTAAATCAGCATCTTTACTGTGTAGCTCTGAAAGTCTTGACAGTTAAAAGGGAGTTCTTGCTGAAAACCTTAAGAGGGAATAAAGGGTGTCACCTCACCCCTATCCCTGGGACAGCTCTCCAACAGACCATGCTAATGCACTGTCCATTTGTTAAATTTTTTAACCAAAGGAGTATTTTTAAGGGAACAAGGTTTCCTTGGAAACATTCAAATCAGCCTTTTTCTTGTAATCATCTCTCTCTCAGAATAAAACTTGCACCAAAGCAGGTGTTAAACACAATCATTAGCTTCCACTGAAGATCACAAGCAAAACCTCACCATTATCATGGTGACCTAGACCATTTTGAAGAAACTGCCAAAAGCAAAAATGCCATTCTATGTGACAACAAATGCGCACTCAACAAAACATTTTTTAACCACTTGAGGATTTTGAAGGGATCATGTCTCTTTAGAAATGTTCAATTTAGCCTTTTGTTACAATCATTAATATCTCAAAAGGAAACTTGCATCACTGCAGGTACTCAACACAATCATTAGCTTCCATTTTAGATCACAAGCAAATCCTCATTCCATTATCATCATGGTGGCCTACACCATTTTGAAGAAACTGCTAAAAATGATGTTGAAAAACTAAAGTTTGGATTCAGTTTCTTCCTGATGTTTGTTTTCTCAAAGAAGAAAAATCACATAGCTGATTATTACCTATAAAGAAATTCTGTATGACAACAGAAGGCCATTCCCCAAAACATTTTGAATTAAACAAAAGGGGTTTTTTGAAGGGGTGGTTTCTTTGGAAACATTCCAGCCAAGAAAACATTCACCTGCTGGAAATAATAGTTTTAAAATTTTGGAAAATTTAACTCAATAGTTTCTGTTGCTTTTATGAAAAGCCTTGAGAAAATATAAAAAAAAAAGTATCCCGAGTGAAGTAGCATTGAGAATGGACAAACACGTCACTCACTTCTTTGTGAAGAACAAACTCCGTCCATTTTAATTCTCATACACACACCGTAACATGTGTTCGTAATGTAAATAAATACGTATGCGGAAAACTTGACATGAAGATACATGGCAAATATACACTTTAATATAGTAAAAGTAAAAGCGCCATGCAAATATTACTTTTCAAACTTTGCAAACTTACCAACAGGAAGGGCAGTGAATGCTTTTCCCAGAACACTTGCGTTTGGCAATCTCTGACTGAAACCTCCAGCCGGTAACATAATGATCTTAGAGTTCATCAACTCCTCCTCCTCATAAATCTTTAAAAGATCACCAATAGTCACGAGTACCGATCCACCGTTGCCGATTTTCGGCCCAGGTGGGTCATAGAACACATGATATTTTACACCGAGGGGTAATTCTCCTCGCGCGAGCTTGGACTGTAGTTGAAGATCATAGGCATTTCTTTGACTTTCGTCAAGAGCAGTAATCACAACTATGTCCCAGAAAGGAATATCAACTTCTTTCCCGCGGATTGAGTCAAAAATTTGTAAATTCTGTTGCATTGATCTTCGTATATTGCGGCTTGTTTGAGAGAAGTCATCGCCCTGCACGTCTGCCATCTTGTATTGCCCTGACACAATCAGAGTGAAGCCTGGTGCAAATATATGTACACTGGAGTCCAGGCCCTCTGTGAGCGATAGAGAAAAATGGCGGATGTCGAATCCCTGTTCGAATTCGTCCACATGGAAATTGTGGCATACTTTCTTAATAAACCAGGGAAAAATGTCGATGTGAGTATTATTTTAATTTTGACTTGTTCTCATTTAATTTAAGATTATTGGAACTTGAATGGTTGCAGTAGTTGTCGTGTTTTTTTCTTTTTTTCAGAATGATGTCATACAAAATCTTGAACGCCTTGGTTTTGGAGTTGGGCAAAGACTAGTGGAAAGGTAAAGATATTTTATCCCTTTAAATAGTATTTATTTATCTTTGATGTGTATGGTTCATCATTCCCTCGTCGAACGTACTACATATTGTTATTTCCAGGTCATTCCTAGAATCTTTCATTTTATGTTTCAAAATTAGACCAGTTATCATGGAAACTTGAATAAACACGGTTCTTAAATCTCTTTTTAGATTCACTAAAGATTCACCTCGCTTTAAGGATGAACTTGAGATCATGAAGTACATTTGTAAAGACTTCTGGACGGCTGTTTATAAGAAGCAAATTGACAATTTAAGAACAAACCATCAGGTAATATAAAGTGTAGATGTAAACTCTGCTTACAAGGCGAATATTTCCAACTCTCAAATGGCATTATCTATAAGGGGAAACAGAGTTTAACAAAGGCGACTTTTGCATGTGATAATCACTGGTTATGTGTTATTTGCAGTAATATTAATTGTTATTGTTTTCCTTAGGGAACATATGTGCTTCAAGACAACAGTTTTCAGCTGTTGACTCAGATGTCAGATGGAAAGCAGTACACAGAGGATGCACCCAAGGTGTAACTTGCAAAATTTGCTTATTAATTCTCATTTCTAGCACCCAACATTTTCATGTAGATAAGAAAGGAGAATGAAGTGTTAAGCCTTTTCATCCTATGAGTGACCAATACAGAAATATTTCTCCACTAAACTTCAGAATACCCGGCCACATCATTTACATGTCATTGAATAAGAATAGCGTCTATTGTGTTATAACTCATTCTTCAAAGCCTCCCGACATATGTAAATGATGTGGACGGGTATTCTGAAGTTGCAACTATTTTTTGAATACCTGTGTGGTTTAAGATGTATCCAAATAGGGAGAAATAACATTTTAGTCACTTTTAAGAGTTATAGCTATTCCAAAAGTTACAAATCAATGAAATGATAGAGTGTACACATTTTAGTGATAGCATGCTGGTGTTTAGACTGGGCTCACCATACTAGTTTACTGCATTTTTGCCAAGATTGGACATTCCTATCTTCTTGTCACTAACAAACTTGTTTGTGGTTAATAGATGTTCTCTTTGTTGAATTTTTTTTTTCAGTTCCTAGCCTTTCCATGTGGCCTTATAAGAGGAGCTCTTTCAAACCTTGGTCTTTCATGTTCAGTTACAGCTGATGTGTTATCCATGCCTAAATGTAAGTTATTACCTCTTCATTTACACTGGGGAAAGGTAGGAGATATAGAAACTTTGGGATTAGCTTGCAAGGCCATGGCTTAGGCCTCGGTTGTTCAAAATAGTGGATAATGCTATTTTCTGGACAATTATCTATAGGGTGGGTTACACAGCACTTATCTACAGAAAAATGATTTACCTTATTATAGGAAATTAACAATGCATGTAATTAACGCGAATTTCAAAAATTCGCGTTAATTTTATGTATCTTAAATTACCTCATTGTTAATTAAAATGACGTTAATTAAAAGCATCGTTATTTAAAGACACCTTTATTATAAGCAAAGCCACAATTCCTCTACGTCACCGTCAGAGTCGGTTGACGCATCATCCTTTAATATTAAGTTCAAAATGTCCTTAGATTCATCAGTGTAGCGATCGTCTTCTCTGAGGGGATAACTCACTTCTTCAACTTTCTTGCGCAAAATGTCTATCGCATTTTTGTCATCTCATTTCATTTCTTATGTTTTTTACCGGAAATAGAGAGCAAATTTTGTTGTTGGCCGTTGTTTTCTAATGAAATGAGTGCGAAAAATATTAAATTCACGTCTTAATTATGCAACATACCGCACGGAAATTCGCGTTAATTAAATGTATGTAAACATAACTTTTGGAAAATTCTCGTTAATTTTATGACGCGTAAATTTTCTTCGCGTTATTAACATGCTTCGTTATATTCCTATAATAAGGTATCCTTTGGACAGGGTCATCCACCCTTTTAAAAAGTAGGCCAAGGATGGCTCTATCTGAGTGTGGTTAACTTTGTTGTGTTTTGCTTTACAGGTAAGTTTCAAATTGTCATTCCAAAATCATAGCAGCATTTTTAAAGAACCTCACCTTTGAATGAAAGAAGAGATGTTCCAAAGATTGATGATAAACTAGCACTGTATGCAAGAACATGAAATGTTGACAAATTATAGAGCTGTAACAGTTGTAAAAAGGGAAGCCAAGTTTGAAGTTTTCTGAAACTTTGTGAATTACAAATTGTATATAAATTACTGGTAATTTTTAGAAAGGTGATGTAAACGTATAAAAATGACATTCTCTCAGTCTTGTATCTACCTTCTGTTGTACCCTGATGTCATTTCAAAGGCTTTTTTTTCTTAGTGTTTGTGTTGTTGAATGATAAATATTATTAGGGGGATAAATCAATGTATTGTCGGCTGCCAATACCATATTATTTTTTTTATAAAAAGTAGTGATTGATCTCAAATACTCCTAATTGTAATGTGCTCAAACAAGTTGTTAAACTTTCATTTCTCTGTACTATGAATGTGCCTATCATCTTGACAAGCTAGGATCCAATGTCAAGATATGTTTGCAGTTTATGTTGACCAAGTTCAGAAGCATATATTTTACAAATAGTTGCCTCAAGAATAGTGCATTAATTGTTAGATCACTACAATTTTTTTGTTTGCTGGCACTTTTTCTGCCTCAGAAAAAGTGACCAGTTGTCTTAATATGTGAGAAGGATTTCTACATAGGCAGACTGTGGAGATATGAATGAACATTTTCCTCCTATTTGTCAGTAGGGAAATCTTTATTGTGGCCTCAATCGAGATATGAGAGCATCCTAAAATGACTTTTCAGTAACGTGTTCCCTATGCCAGACTTGAGTAGTCAAACAATTTTTACAATATGCCATGGAGGCTTTAACAAGCTTTGCCCCTCACCCTCTCTCTGGGACTTCCAGATTGAGAGTTGTAGGGAGGGAAGGGTGGGGAGGGGTCTTGAGATAAAACTTGATCTTCTGGACAGGTGGCTATTTAGAGAGGGAGGAATATAAGGGCATTTTTGTGACATATACGTTGAAGAAGAACAAAATGGTCTTAAGTAGTGTATTTTTCCCGGCTAATTACTTTTCCATCATTTTCTCATTTTCTCTGGATCCTCTTTCATGAAGAAGACCTTTAAACGGGAGATTAAAGGCACACAGTATCAAAGAAACTATTTTGAATGTACCATTATCTGCATTTTTTTTAATCTGAGCTTTTTCATCAACTTAACATTGTGAACACTTCACTTTTCTCAAACGTGTACGTGAGTAAGTTCAGAAAATGAAAACAGCTATGCAAAGTTATTAATCATTTCGAGGCTTTGCTTGAGAGGCAAATGTCTATTTTCTGAAGGTCAGCCAATTGTTTCATTTCCTTTCTTACTTTCCACCTTTTCAAGTACCACACCTGAGGAGGTTGTGTTTTGAAGTTTCTGTAAAAGATTAAGAAGACAGAGAGGGAAAAGGGGGTTTGAAAACTATTACCACTGGACTTTTTAACACTTGAATTCCCAAAACCTTATTGTTGATTCTCCCGTCTTGCTGCTACACATTTCCTTGTAAATTACTTGCTAGAATTTGTTGTTATGTGGAGAAGACAACTTCTTCCTAATAATAATGTTGCTTAAATGCCATATTTTCACTTTATGTATATTTTAATGTGTACAAACATTCCAAGAAGGTTAACACACTTCTAAAGAAGAGCCTTCAGCTTTAAAGAGTACTTGGACAGCGGTGATGGGTACACACAACATAGAAGCACGAGCTATGATCCAGCCCAGGCCCTCGGCCCATCCGAGGGTATGGTTTTTCCTCGTATGTCAGGGGCTGACACTTGGTGACACTGAACAGAAAGATTCCCTGAAATTAAACCGGTGACCCAAATAGGTCTCAGACTTGATGTGCGGGAGGTCGAGGGTTCGAGCCCCGGCCGGACCAACACTCAAGGTCTTAAAATAATTGAGAAGAATATGCTGCCTTTCTATAACATCAAGAAATGGTTTAGATATTCTAGTCTTCTCGGATAGGGACGAATAAATGGAGGTCCCGTCTCCTGCAGGGTTAGGGGTAGGAGACGTTAATTTCCCACGCACGAGATTACTGTGTGATGGATGTCCTCCCCTGGGGTGGGATGGGTGGGTGTTGTCTTGCGATTATATGAGCCTCTGGCTCGGGCAATAGGGGCAACCATGCCCCACGCAAAGACATTAAACTTGATTACAGGAAAAAAACATATGGTAATCTGCGGTCTTTCCTTACACTTAGGTAGCACGGAAAGGCGTAAAAATCTTGAACAAAAGCTCATCTTTCAAACCGGCAGTCTAAATCCCACAGGGATCAACGAACGCTTTTCATTTCACTAATTTATTCTTGTTTTTCTCGCTCCATTCTCTGCCTTTAAAAGCATACACAACCCACAATTCCTCTATTCGCTCCGACGAAGGGATAACGCTCGAAACGTCTGCTTTTGTAATCGTTACGGTGGCCAACTTACCACTTCAACTTTGTTGATATATCCAAATTATTTCTACCTAATAAGAATGTTGCTTAAATGTCTTATTTTCACTTTATGTATAATTTAATGCATACAAACACTCCAAGAAGGTTAACACACCTCTAAAGAAGAGCCTTCAGTGTTACAGAGTACTTCGACAGCGGTGATGGGTACACACAACATAGAAGCACAGGCTATGATCCAGCCCAGGCCCTCAGCCCATCCGAGAGTATGGTTTTTCCTCGTATATCAGGGGCTGACACTTGGTGACTAAACAGAAAGATTCCCTGGAATTAAACCGGTGACCCATAGACCCAAACAAGTCCCAGACTAAGAGCAGTCCTGCTTTTCGACAAAGTTCGTCGCGCGAGTTAAAAAAATCGATGAACTCAAAGTAGCAGGTTTGAAACCAGGCATGTGCTTTTTGTGCTTGTGATCCCATGTTACTTATATGAGTTTCTGTGAAATCTTCACCCCAGATCTTCCTATAATTATATCAAACTGACTTTACTACCAAACAGTCCGTAAAGATTCTCGAGTTCACTGATTGTTATAACTGAAAAAGGGCTGTTCCCTGAGTATTTATCGTGATTTATAAACTTATCACGATATGCAAGCTTCTGCAAATACAATGCATAAAAGAAGTGTGGTCTTTATTCACTTACGATCAGCATCACAGGCGAGACGAACTTCCAACAGATCACCCACCACTTGGACACAGGATACCCAATAGTTCTCGCGATTTTGTCTGCGAAGTTTTGCGCACCTGCATGATCATCAATTTGATGGGACTAGCATACGAGCGCAATTTGCCACCAGGATTTATCAGGAGTAGTTATTGACACTAAATATGTAAAGGCAGTTGGCTACCCTGCGAGAGTGAGCCGAACGTTGACAGTAGTAAGCCAGGGCAAAATTTATAAAAAATGACGAATGAAGTGTGTTAAATGTGGGCGGTATCCGGTCAGTTCGCCACCACCAAAC